GGAGTCCCGTTTCCCCCCCCCCCCCCCCCCTTTAATTAACCCTAGAATATTATTCCATTTTCACTTGGTTTTAAAGAAGTGTTCCTTAAGCAAACTGTCTTCTGATTTGCAGAAGCAAGGCTGCACTCTCTGGTGCACATGCTGCATTTCCAGAAGATGGAAACAGTTTGAAAACTGACAGATATATTTACTGCAGACCTGTTGCTTCCCCCCACCCCACCCCGAGGAAAGTTTCTGCCTGCTTAAGTGGCGGGAGAATACTTGCCTCAGGAGACAAAGGCAGGAGGAACAATAAAACCAAAAAAACATACAGAAATGATGCTCCAAGGTGTCAAAAAGCATCTATCAGATCATCTGAAGAGGTATAGAAGAACGTAATATACTCCCATGCCTTCATCTAGATGATACATATCAGCCTGAGGAATACCATGAGAAATACACTGAGCACTGCAGAAAAAAACCCTATTCCTCCCTTTCCACATAGCTAAACCAGAGAGTTTATTTCAATCCTTCTCTCATATATATCACAACCTGCTCCAATTAGAAGAAAGAAGAAACTACTCTATTTCTTCTACTTCTAAACCCATAATGGAACAAGTACATCTATCACACCCTGAGACTAAAAGAGCTACAAATGCAAATTCCCCCATTTCACTGGAGGCCCGGCAGTGGAGGGGAGGAAGGAGCCAGAAGCAACAGCAGACACTACTGTAGTGACATTTCTGGTTATCAGTCTATCCAGTAAGTTACTCATTACTTTTATTCTGGTGCATTTTTATACACTGACTCTCTTTAAAAGCTGCCCTTTCTCTGGCCTTCAGTTATTGGAGAAGGGTAAGAACACCGAAGATGACCAGGACGAGAATTCACAAGCAAAGATCGCAGAAAGCCATCCTATGGAAATGCACCACAGTGACAGGGGCAAGCCCTCACATTAACCAGAGTCACAAGAAGTGACAGAATGATAAGTGAGAAACATAGCTGCTCAAACACAACAGACAGGTACATGCAAATTAGTACACGAAAACAGTGATTCAGTGCAAATTTGCTTTCCATTGGTACTTCCAGAAATGACCTGCTTGACTGGAGGATGCTAGACTTTAAGTCCCCCCCTCCACTGGAGGCCAAGACACCTTCAACAACTGCTTTAGACAGATATTCCTACAGCGATACAAAAAGCAATATTTTTGTAATCAGATCCTTCAAAACTTGTAAAACTATTTTTTGCTGAAGCCTTCAAGGATTGCAGATAGAGGAATACATATATCACAGTAAATTTAACTGCTTCCTTAGTTAATATTTAGTAAAACTCCAAGAAGTGGCCATCAGCTGTCTCACAGTACATCATCTGCTTGTCCTCCTTTATCCAATTTCAGTGAAATATTTGCAACTTCTTTAACTTAATTACATTTTGGGTTTCCCGCCCCCCGGAAATCTCTGATTATAAATTTATTTACATGTTTCTATGTTCCTGCACCCCTTCATCTCTCATCCATTTTCCTCTGGTTATTCCTACCTGGCTAAATAACAATAAAAAGTGGCTAATAGCAGCCTCTCATTACAAGACATAACTCATAGTTAAATGATGAACCTTCACCTAAAATGTATGAAACCATGTTATGTTTGTAACCACCAGTGAAAGGTGTCAATTCAAATACTGGATCAGGGGTTAAAAAAAAAAAAAAAAAAAAAAAAAGCAAATTTCTACACTCCTACTCCAAAAACAAGGGCTAGAAACTTGCTACTTGAAAAAAGTTGAGATTCTTACACGATCAAACTTTAGGAACAAGGTCTTCCCATCCCATCATGAGACTCACAGTATGCATCACTGAACAGACAAAACTCTTGTCAGTAACCACCAAAAGTATCCCTAGGTAGGGATGAAATAAAAAAGAAAAAAAAAAGAAAATGGAAAAGGAAAAAAAAAAAAATAAACAGTTTGGCTTTCTGTAGATCTCCAATTACTTAAGCCTATGGCTTCATGGCCTTCCTTACAAAAATATTTACTAATCGTATTCTCTAAAGAGAAGTCATTTATTTTCATGGAGAACAACAAAAAAAACCATCAAAACCCCCAGAACTTGTTGCTAACAAATGTAGATACAATAGGTTTTGAAAAGTAGGGCAACACCACAAAGCTTGTTATTCACTAGCTAGCTATACAGAGTAAACCAACAGTTTAGTACGAATACTCTAATGACCGAAAATACTTGAGAATGGATCAAATGGAAACTCACAAAGGACTCTTAAGAAAACAAATTCAGCAAAGCTAAGGTCTCTCTGAAAGACATGTGAAACTGAAGCCCTAAACATGCTACCCTGCAAAACTATTTGTTTGACAGAACATTTCCAAATAAAATTCATGTCACTATTATATTGGCCCTTGAAATCTCTAAGTCAATTTACTGATGCATACAACTGAAACCGATTATTCAATTCTGTGAAAACTTTCTCTAACTCTGCATTTCTTCCCTGTGGACAAAAATCTACCTTAAAATCATCAGGCTGCTAAATAAAGTAAATCTTCAAGTTCTGGGGTTTTTTCTTCTTCGGCTGTGGAAAATTCTTCAGTCCTGTGCTATACTTAGAAGCAATGGAGAAGATTCAGAAACTTCACTCTGAAAGACATTCCAGTAAGTGGGGGGACGGGACCCAACCCTCACTCATTCCTTCCTCTGAGCAGCGTACCTTTACTTTCTGCCACTCATTGCTCTTACCGTGAGGGGGCTGGTTTGTTTTTAAATAACTGTTTGCCTGGATCCCCCTGCAGAAATCCTGGTGATAGGAGAGTGTGAATGCCACTGTCAGATTATGAACAGATGAACTGAATCACTATCACCAACTACTACAAAACACAACTTGGTGTCTAGGTTTAAATAAGAGAATCCACCTATGCCTAAAGTTTCTGAATAAGGAGCAAGGTATTTCAGTCCTCATTCCTATTCTCAGTCTCTCAGTTTTTTGCTTTCGTTGCCCATAGAACAACTCAAGGATCAAAAATTATTCTCTCTTGCAACCTTCTTCTCTAAAACCCCTTTTGGATTTCATTCTGATCCTCTTCTGCCCGATTCTACTCACTTGGGATGTTTATCTATGTAACATCTTGCTTTGTTCTACACAGTTCTTGCTATCCACTATGCCAAAGCAGAGAGGAAACCAAGCCAACTTCATCTGAGAACAGTAGAGAAGTTCCTTCTAGTGGACTATGGCATTTGCGCACGTGACTGTACAAACTCACAGCTTTGCTTTTCCTAGTATGAGATTTAGAAAGGTACTCTCTGCTCCGGAACTTTGAACCTCCTCATCTCTGATTATGAACAGGAAAGAGACAAATTAGCAATTTATCTGTTTATGTCATTTCTAGAGGGATCTTGCCTATTTGTCCACAAAATATGACTATGAAGACAGAGCAAAACTAGAAGAAGAAAAAGTTTGTTTCACAGTGGGCTGCACATCCTGTACAGTAGAGTATCTCCCCTCACTCTGAGCGAGCCTAGCAGTGCTAATATAGGTTCTTATTTGCAAGAAAGCCATTTATGAAATCAAACACATACAATATCTTGATAAAAAAAAAAAAAACAACAAACATAACCAAGGGACAATAAAACTGACTGGGAAATGTGTACACTTCCTGATAAGCCAATGTATCTTCCTTCGCTTGGTCAAATTACAAGCAACATTCCTTTCCAGCACTTCATTCTGAGCAAAGCAAGACAGAGGGCACACAGTACTCCTAAGTGTGGGCATGGGGAGTGAAAACAAGAAGTGCCTGACAGTGTACACACGGAGTCTCACCTTTAAGAAATTTTAAAAACAGAGGAAGGAACCGTATTTACAGACAGCAATGCTCCTTGCCGTAAACACACTAGCAAGACCACCATAAAGCATCACAGTAGTCACCAATTATTTCAGAAAATTTCTTCTGAGAAATATAACCTCAGGTTATCCTGAAAATTTCATGGAGTCCGGGGTGAGGGGAATCCACTAAGTTCATCCATTGCAGCTCTGGTAAACAAGCTGGTATTTGATGTCTAAGCAACGATCTCATGCACTCCAGGAAATGACAAAAGCGTGCAACCAGATAAAAGTCACAAAAGTTTTATCTTTCAATAAGAAGTGGAGTAGGTGTAACTACACATTTCCATTACCTGGTTTAAATAAACAAAACAGACTGCTTGCTTTCAGTAGCAAAGACACCGGCAATACAGTAACCAAGTACGATATACAAATAGTTTCTCTATTTCAGCTTAGGAAAGCAACAAGCTGGCATCCTAATGGCTCTGATCTATACAAGGCCTTGCATAGAAGCCTTCTTAGTAGACCTGCTATGATAATTAATATAACATTTTAAGTCCCAGGATTTATGATTTCAACTCATCAGTCAATGTCCAGGTCTTTCTGAACTAAAGGTGACTTGAGAGTTATATGCATAATCTATACTACCAATTAGCAGACTGAAATACGTATTTCAAATTAAAGCCAGCTTAAGCAAAATATATTTGAGGTTAAAAAAAAATAAAAAAAAAAAATAAAGGCTTTACAAAGCTGTACCTAGAAACTATTTCTTTGAAGTATTATAGATTTTTTTCTGAAGCGATGACAACTTTTTTCAGGACTGCTAGTATTCTATAGGTAGTAATGCTGAGCAAGTGCTGAACACGTGACTTTGTGCCCAAATAGGATGCAGGAACTCATCTTTAGGTCTAACAAGGAAAACTTATGTAGGAAAATTCAGTGACTCACACAAACCAGTATTTCTCTAGAGATTCGCAGTGACTAGAAAGAACAACAGGTATGGCTACGCTTCCTCACAGGCGCCATACAGAATTTCTGAATCTCAAAAAAACGTCTTCCCAAAAGGTAGGAAAATGTGTAAAGTACATGTTTCCACACCTACCCAAAAAAGTTCAGGCTTATATAACTTATGTGTTTTACTGAGTGATTAAAACCTGGATGAAGGCTGAAGTAAACTACAGCAAGAAAAGAAAATTAAACAAAAATGTCATTTCGTGTAACTCACCTCCCATTAACTGTAGTGTACTTGATCACATCTCCTGGCAGGACCACTAATAGTTCAATGTCTTTATCGATTACATTCTCTTTTTGTTCCATGATGAGGTTGGCTGATCCTGTGTCATCAAATGGAGAAACAGCAATGGGTTTTGTTTCAGAAGGAGGTGGTGGTGCTTTAGATTTTCTTCTGAAATAAATGGATAAAAATTAAAAGTCAAGTATGAATTTATACATATGATTCCATACTGGCAAGCTAACAAGTCTCGGAACAAGAATGAACCACACAAATCTTTTCACTCAGACTGTGTAAGTGATATGTGCGAGTATGGGATGAGAGAATATTTTAAACATCTGATCAGTGGTGAATAGAAGATACAACAGGCTAAGGTATCTAGCATATTTAAAAAAAAAAAAAAAAAACACAAACAAAACAAACCCAAACCCAATAAACATCAAGCCCAAAACAAAAAGGTTTTTTTTAATACAAATTTTAAAAAGGAAATTAATTCCTTTTTTCCTCCATTGGATTACGCAAAGAACCCTGTGTTCTCCAAACAGATTTACAGGATTAGTATAACAGAAATACTGTACTAATGCAGTAGGAAGCCAAATTGCACTGACAGCATGTTTAATATATAGGATAGATAGGTGGGGAATAATCACACTTCCCTCCCCAAATTTTCTTTTGATTTTCAAAATCATTCAAACAAATCTTACCAGCTCTAGTTTATTTACTTCTATACAGTAATAAAATAGCACTATAACCAATACTACTCTGTTGTAATATTTATTGACATTTCAGTCACATTACACTCTCATATTTTCCTCTCACCTACGCTGAGTTCCTATTTTAATTTTCTCATTATCCTTTCCCATCTTAGTGACAAGCCAGTGTAATCTTGAATGCAAAGAGTGATCACTACACAGGTTTCACTTATTTCACTTTAAAAAAAAAAAAAAAATCCAAAATGGTATAAAAGGAAAACTCTCTACATCTCTTAATATATTTACATTACAGTAGATTCTGAGGGGAGGACTCTCATGTCCTAAAACATATAGTCTAGCATCCCCTTTTATTCAAATAACTTTCCACAATTCACCAACATTGTCACAGGAAAAGACAGTATTATTAAGAATTTCACCATTAGAAACAAAACCAAAACACACTGTGGAGACACATTACCTCATAAGAACTTTTTAGTTTAAGAAACCATTCTTTTAAAAAGTTTGAATGCAGTGATATTCGCACAAAGTTAAAATACATTTAAAACTTAACGCACAACGGTTCCAAAAATATACTTGCAACTTAGATTCTGGAGCTGTACCAAAGCTTGTTTACTTTAAACATAACCAAAGAAATTAACTTCTATAATTGTCCTACAGAATTAAAACAAAAGATCTAGCGTACAACAATTAGAAACACACATCTTTCTTGGGAAAACAAAGTTTAAAGTCACTCACAATGAAGAGCAAACAAGGTCCAGAGCAGCATTGCAAAAGACGACTGTGTAATGAGACTTCACATGACCGATCTGTTGCTGAAAGTGCTTAGAGTTTTGAACTTCAGAACTCCGTGCTGAATAATTAACTATTCACAGCCTCTCAGAGCTAATCGGGAGTACTCACAGACCTCCAAACACACTGAAAGGATTCGCCATCAAAATGCATACCTTCTCTCCGTTAATGTTCTAAATTAGTCTCGGTGCACTCCACAAACAATTCAGTAAGTGTGGAGTTAGCTGCAAATTTAACTTTGGTCTCTACGGCAACTCACCCGGGTTGTTTCTGGGTTATGTGAACATTGCAAAATGTATGAATCAAACTTCTTTTTGCTCCTCCCTGACTTTTTTTTTTTTGCATGATTTTTAGCTGTCATAACTGCCCAAAAGAAATTATTAGCCAATACAGACCATTGATACAACTATTAAAAAAAACCCCAAAAACTAAAAACTCAACCTTTGACATTAATACCAAAAAATCCAAACCTAAATTGAAGCAGTACTGCTCTTCCCCTCATTCTTACATCTTTAAGTGCCTTCAAATGGTTGTTAAATGATATTTATTGCATCTGAACTCAGAATTTAATCTTTGAAGACTACATGCCACCAAGATTTGTTTGCAAATGCTAGTGGACTCTATTTCCCATTAAGAAGACAAATGCAATTTCAGTGCTGGAACTCTGCTATCACACGAGAGAGTGCTTAATCACACACAGCAATAAATGCACAGTCCACATCAGTAAAATGTGGCTTTATTTATACCATGTCTAACTTACACTATAGAGAGCTAGAACTGATAAAATACTCTTGTCAAAACTTGCGTACAACAGCTAGTTAGCTGAAGTTCCATGTATTTATAAAGAGCGCACACACACACACACACACGGGGTCAGGCAGACTAACAAGGTTGGACGACTCTCCACTTACACCACTGCAGAGCTATGTAACCTACCCATCTCCAGCACATCTGCACGTTCTTTACGGTTAGTTATGCTTACATTTCCCACCCCATGCAAAGGAGGAAAAAATCTCCAAGTATACTTTCTCAGAAGTTATGCTGAGATTTTGGCAACGTCTTATTAAACAACAGGGATCCCAATACTTTCGTTTTCTGTTTCCAGATGCCATGTCTCTTTTTTCTTCATTTTTTACCGATTCTCTCATCTCTCATTCTTAGCCCAATGGAGTTACATTTGTTCTTACAGCTTTTTCTTTTCTGGAGTTTGTGCCTGTATCTTGTGACAGGAGAGGCTGCCTGCCAGGTGATAGAAGCTCTGCATTCCCAGTGCCCCACAGCTGCTATTGGGCAGTACAAACAATTCAAGTTACCATGAGTAGCTCTACAGGTGCAAATCAAGAGCAGCAAGTGACAGGATGGTGGAAATAAAGTTGTAGGGGTAATTTTAACCTACAATCCTCCTCTCTTCTACTATGGAGTCTCCAAGAAGCTGACACAGGTGATTTTCTCACAAAGGCATCCTCCACACACCATTTTATTCAAACACGGAAAAGTAAAACCAGCATTACCCAAGTAACTCCAAGTCTACACCATCACTTCAAACACTTATCCTTCATAAAGAACAAACAAACAAAAGCCCAGTTCTCTCTTGCCTCTTCGCACCTCTACCAGGTACTCAGCAAACTAGGAGAGTTGCTGGTTTTTAATGAATTTGCCAAAAGGAGTGGTTAAGGTAGTTTCTTCTCCTGAAAAGAAGAAAACCCTTGATTTTTAGTAAGACAAAATAAAACTATAACAAAGGGAATAAATTCCCAATCATATAAAAATAACACTTTAGGGGTCAGAAAAAAGGTATTCAGTAAATGGTCTCACTCATAGCACCTTTCATGTTCAGATAGCTTCCAGATGTGCTAGGAGCTATGCAGACCTAGTCTAATTTTCAAAGTAAATATTAGAAGCAATAAGAACAACAAAAACATACTCTTTATTTTCATGGCCACTACAGAACTAAAGGAAAGCTGCGGGAAGAATCAAAGTACAGCTTATTTAGCTATGATATAGAGGGAGTTAAAAGAGAAATTTTAACCAAATAAGGGTACAACTCATCATAAAAACTCCTCTGGAAATTGAGCTGCAGCATCCTACACAACGTGGGTCCTCACTCCTTCCTTGTCTCCATAGGTCCCAGCCCCATCAACTAACTGACCTTCCTAACACCAGACATTAAAACTGCCAATCCCAACCCATCTGAAGAGATGTGCTCCCCACTGTTTATCACCAGATAAACAGTTCCAGCTGCCTATTACACTGCAACAGCTTGAATGACATCTTCTGTTTAATCAACTGCTTAAGATAAAGTAGAAAAAAAAAAAAAAAAAGGAGGAAAAAGAAAATATCTTTCCTCTGATTCTTCCAAGCCCTGGAAAAGGCAGCCAGAGGGACACCCACAACACTCTCACAGGGTCCCACAAACACAAGCTGGGGCAGCCTGGGCAGTTTGTACTTCCCTTGTTTCCAGTGCACCTGGAGCTCACTGCTTATGCCAAGTCCTTCAGCTCGCCCTCATCTTGTGAGAGTATATTGTTCCCAAGTGAATTCATATCTCTTAGAAATTTAAATTTCTGAAGTCCCACCTGCAATTCCCACCAGTCTTTGTGACAGAATACAGCTCCTCTAAAGACATTAAAGAATTCTTTCAGCCAAATGCAGATGGAAGATTTCACCATTTTGTTAAGAAAAACAGTAAGTCTTTTAAAATCCAATGCAAGGCCATAAAGTGAACATTTTATGTGTTTCAGATCCCTCTTCTACAAAATGAAGTATCATTGCTGTATCTCAATGTATTTCCTACTTGCTGAAAAAAATAAGGGTCAATGAATGGAACATGCGGAAGCCCTTTTCAAAAATAAATACTTACAAGTAAATAAATAAAGCATCTATTTATTCCATGCAACCTTTTTTTAAAACCAACAAGCTTTCAATTCCTGTTAGAAAGGTACAAGCAGTATATTTTTAACTATCAGTAACTAGAGAATGGCGCTTAAAATAATGAGAAATACTTGAACTTACAGTGACCTGGATATTACAGTTCTCACCAGCACTTCCTCTTGATAAGGATCACTTTCCCCAAAAATAATGGAGAAAAAGAGGAAATCTATCTGCTAGATTTGTGCACAACCAAAGGCTACAACATATACAACCCACTTCTTCAAATCTTGATATCAAGGAATATTAATGTTTACAGCATTTCTGATCTTGAACACAATTACATGAGACACAAAGACAGCCTGACAGCCCTCTCACTGAAATTATTTTGGGTCTAACCTCCAACATCAGAACTGTCCCTCAGGTTTTCTATAGCAATCACCTAAGACAGGGAAGGGCATCAGGGACCTCACCTGCAATTCAATGATCTTTTGGGTACCAAAAAATTTATTAAACATAGTAAAATAAAAATTTTCTACTGCACAACAGATGGACTTAAGTTTGTCAATTTGACTCATAGCACCATGAAGAATACTGCTTTATACAAAGAGCAACTACGCAATTTTTTTATATCAAACTTTACAAAATTATATACGCCCAAAGTACAAGCAGCACTTCATTTTATTTTCCCTCGAAGTCAGAGGGGGATATAGGGCTCTACTAAGATCATGTCACAAGAGGAAAAAGACCACTGCAATAAAGCTTCTCCTAGAGCTTTACTTGTCTTTGACCTCTTACCCCAAGCAAGTATTATAAAGCTTTCCTGATTATTACAATAACGCTACTCCACTGCTACGCCATAGTAGCAGACCGCCAAAACCCTGCACATCATCTGCTCAACCAAGGCATAGTTGAACAAGAGTTCAGGCCTACATTCAGTACATTTATATGTTCTGTTTACAATGATACATCAGTTTTGGCCAACAGATATACAAAATATTAAACCCCTAATTTCATCTATAAGCATTCCCAGCCCAATACTTACCTTTAATACACAACAAATTTGTGTTGTACAGTAAGCAAAGATCTTGAAAGTACCAACTTTCAACTTTCCCCCTGTTTATTCAGTTGCCTTTTTGCGGATTATGGTTTCACAGCACCACCACCACACATCTTCAAGATCAAACACCGCTTGCTAAGAAAAAGCTTGGAGACAACTGCAGCATTACTATCTGCTTGTCATTGTCCAGCAAAAGACTGAAGTTATCAATGCCAGTCACTCAAAAAATCACTGCTATGTGTTTCAGGCATATGTATAGATAACCACTTTTTAAGAGGAAAAAGGAGGAGGAGACAGGAGGAGGAGACAGGAGGAGGAGACAGGGGAAGTATTTCATAAGACATAAATGTTCAG